TAAGTAGTTTTCAATTTTATTTAAATTTTAGTATATGTAATACCCATTCTGTGTGTAAATAATATTCAATTATATTTATAAATAAAGAAAACATGTGAAGATAATTAAATTGTTTTCATCATTTAAAATGGACAAAATAATTGAAATTCTTGTCAATGGATTTTATCCATTTCCCTTTAATTGAGTTGTTTTTATTTGGATTTAAACTCAGCATTTGTGTGTCACTATTGACTGACTGATTATTGATGATACAGTACTTACAGAGTTTGTTGTAAGGATTCTTATTGTTATCAATTTGTTATCATCAGTCTCTCTCTCTCTCTCTCTCTCTTTCCATCATCACTCACTCTCTTAAATACATAACAATTTATTATATTAGGATGATTTATCTCTTCACTTATTTTAAATAGTAAAAAATAAATATAAACAAATTAACAGTTTAAATATTATTTCAATAATTATATCAAACAATTTTTATTACATATGAGACAATAGATCACTAGTTTTTAGAGTCAGACTTGATTGTGATCTCAACTTTTGGTTCAGTCTTTACTTCAATTTTCAATGGACTCAACTCTTTTTCAGTGATTTTTTGGATCCCCTTTCCGTGTCTGATAAAGAGTACGGGAAAAGAGATGCCAAGATTTATGTAGAAAATCACATGATAACCACTCTTCAGTTTCAATCGGTTATGAAGTCCACCATTTATTGTCATGTAATGACCGTTTGTTTTAACCACAACTAATGGCAAATCAAATATTAGATAACCGCCGGCCCTCACAATCACTGAACCGTTTCTAAACACGAATAACAGGCCGTCCTTACTATCATCGTTGGCCGGAGTTATCCCAATTTGATTGTCTCGTTTTGGTTGATATTTGTCTTGAGAATCGACTGGACTTTCATTGAAGAATACAATGTTATTAGCCTTTACTCTGCCATAAGTGGAGCGACGGATCTCTTGAAGAAGGGGTCCGACGAATATCCTGTGCTCTTTGGCTCCAAAGAAATAATTAGACGTCTCTTCCAATTGTGCCACACTTTCATGTATTAAAAGTGCCATTTGTGTCAAATTGAATTCCTCGTCCATTTTCTTAATAGTGATTTGTTTGGCATTTTTAATATTCTCCTCTATGCCTTTAAAGGGTTTGTCTTTTGGTGTATCACTAATGAAAAGACTAAGTTTTTGAAGACTGCATTCGAGCGGAAGAATTAACTTTTTGTCGCCCAACCCGTCCGGTCCCTCAATCACATTCAACTCCATTCACAAATTATATTATGGGAAATGGATTTTTAATAATTTGACCAATTTATTACTAACTGACAAAATTAGTATACTAAACTTATATGTTTTATAAATTATAACTTAATTATGTAATATCTCGTGAGTTATAATACTGTGATTAATTTTATAAAAAAAATAGTATCGGTAGTAATAAAACCATTTGAATTAGGATAACTATATTTTTTAAGTTTTCAAGAACTTTATAGTGAAGCAATTACTATATAATAAGTTAATACAAGTATACTGTATATAATTTAACTATTAATCTTACTTTAAATTATAAAAAACATACTAACTTTAACAATATAAAAATACTCATATCATATTTAATATAAAAATACTGTATACAAACTCTAGAATATAAAATTTTTATATTTCCTTTTATTCATTTCCAAAACGTGAAATAAATTATCAAAACTTTTAACTTGTAAGCTATAAAATAAATATAAAGGACAAAAGTTATGTACAGTACTAAAAATCAAATGGAAAGATACTGTTTGTGTGAATCATTTACTTGTGTGGAAAAGTGTTAACTTTTATACCAAACTTATGGAAAATTTTAATAAATTATTAAAGTTTTGATAAATAATTTTCACATTAATTTTTTAATCAATTTTATTTTATTAAATAACAATTGTAAACATGTATAAAGGTATAAATAAATAAACAAAATATAAATTGGGATTCAATAGTCATCAGAAAGTGTGGGGACCGGTGGTCGAAAGGCACTTGAATTAGTGGTGCCGTTATTAGCGGCCACTGTATTATTTGAGACATCAATATGTGTAGAATTTGGGTTTATTTCATTGGATTCCGGTTCTCTAGGGGTCGGCCACATCACCTCAATGTTGTGATGCCTGTGCGGCATTGATTGGAAACATATCAAAAAGTTATCAATAAATTCAATATAAATAATACTAATATTATTATAAAATAATACCTGGGTTGCAGGTGATTACTGCCACCAAAGTGTAGATTATAATCAGTCTCAAATCCATTTCAGTTATCAAACAAGTATCCACACGTGTATATTACACAAAAGTTATATAAGCTTTAAATACACAACAACTCGATTATCTACTGATTAGTAAAAGTGATCTCTTTTTATACCTTTTGTTTTATACACGAGTCGTGCGAAAAGATGAGAGTTAAATGAATTGTAATTAATTCACTAATTATTCAGTTTCCTGTTTAGTTTGCCATTTAATATTCATTATTATGAATAATTAAAATAATAAACTTTTGCTAGAGTTCTCACGAATTAAACTTTTATCGATATAATTAATTTCTTATTAAACAAATCGAAATGTGAGAATTTATAAAACTTGAAAAATGTATTCCGTGAATTTTGTGACAAATTATGATTTAATTTAAATGACAATTGCTTTTATAGTATGTAATACATGTGCACTTAAATTCATAGTATAGTCATGTTATGTTTAGAAAAAAATTATCAATTAAAGTTCATTGAATTAATCATTAGAAACAATATTATACCAATTAGTGAATCAAATTGTGTAATAATCAGTAGTGAAGTGTATGTCAATCACGTGTACACACAATGCATTGCAAATGAAAACAGAATGAAATTTAATAACCGGAATTTGATTTGAAATCTAAAAATAAATTTCTTATTCTATGTGTGAATCACCAAATATTTTATGCATTTAATACACGGCTATATTTGGCTAATTTGCGCTAGATTATACCGGCTCATACTGGTAACTCAGGTCATTTACTGTACATAACAAATAAAGTAATTCTTTAAATTAAGTGTTTGGTTTCAATAACTTATTTTATTAATCAGTAAAAGGTATCCAAAAATAACAGATCAGCCAAACGTTTTCGATCTACACTGAGATCTTCAACAGATATTGAGTTAGTGTTCAATAATGACAATTAAATGAAGCAATTCTTTAAAGTTTAAACAAATCAGTGATTAAAATATTATATTAAAATGAGATCTAGGTAAACTCAAACACTTTTGACACTTTGCGAGTTGATGTCAAGTATTTCGTTTAGCAAATAAACGCAAATTTATTTGAATTGAAAACATTTATTACAGAAAATATAACAAAATATGAATGAATGCAGTATTGAATCAAAAGTGACATCATTTCCATACAATTGCTGAATGAGTTTCAAATGCGTTCACAATAGGCTTGTAATGAGTGTTGAATAGCGTATGACTTATCGTCTGCTGAATCGGATCCGCTCCTGAAAGAACTGAATGACAATCTGTGGACACTTATGGTTGGCAACATTGGCCGGAACCAAGTCCGCGTCACCGCCTCCTTGCCATTGCACCAGATATAAGAGGTCACCATCTGATCCACAATACAAACGTACAGTTAATACCAGTTCAAGACATATGGCAGCAATTCATACTGAGTTCTGTGACACCAATGATCTTCTCGGCCTCGAAGCCGCGCTCAAAGCCAATCACATCCCTAATGGAGGACTCGCCACCGCCTCTCGCGGGCCGCGACTTCTTGGCCGTCACTGTCGACGCCTTTGACGGCTTCTGCGCCGAAGACTTGACGGACTTCTCGTATTCGTCAATGAGTTCCTATGAAACACACCAAACAGACATCAAACACGAGTTCACACATCAAGACATATGCGCTGATAATCACCTGACAGTCGAGGTTGGCTTCGGCTGTGGAAACAAAGACAATACAAAAGCGATTACACTATGAGTTAATGGTATGTATGGATCAATTGGTGGTGACATACGCTCCCACGTGTTGTCTTGGTCTCCATATCCCTGCCATTTGATGAGATACTCGACGCGGTTGTTGCGGCGCCTCTTGTCGACGACCGCCTCCACCACATACGCCTCTTCACCGCCACCACCACTACCACCCGTTCCCTCCTCAGCCTCACTCTTATCCACCTCTTCGTCCGACTCGTATTTGGCCACTTTGGGTGACTTGGATTTGGGCGTCGATTGTCTTCTCTTGGATTTAGCCATCGTTTGGTCTCAAAGATAATGCAAATGATCTGCAATTGAGTTGCCGTTCACACGAAAACACATTCAAAAAACCGGTGTTTCCTATAATGGCGTAACTGTTGGCTCCAGTAGTGCACAGATAAGCCCTTTTCATATAACTAGTCATTTGTGCCATATTTTCACTGGAAATGAGTTTTTGCGCCAAATTTGAGTGTCATATGAGAGTCACGTGATCCCAGACTACGATCTGATAAACTAATCTTGGTTATCGATATCAGTACTTGATTTCAACGTTGAATTCGTGGAAAATTTTGATTCAGTTTAGATTAATGTTAATAATGCTATCATTATATCATAAATTATATGTACCGGTATATAATTATGTGGCAAAGTGTCTATAAAGTTATTAAAATAGTACTCACAATTCAAGAACGGCAATTGTTATTCAGTTAATTAAATAAAATAAACTGGATTATACTCGTATGGTATGGTATAATAGGACTGTC